AGTTAAAAAATAGAAAGATACAAGTCCCTTTTTAAGCCTTTTCAAAGCCTGAGGTTCATCATGAATGTTTCTTTCACAATTAAAATGCATTCCTTTCTTTTAGGGTGTTGCCTCCTTCCTTTTGTGTGCTGGTTTTTTTTGTTTGTTTGCTTTTTTAAGTTTAAATAATGATAAACAGCAAAACATTATAAAACTATACATTGAAAATGAGGGAACTGATCTTTAAAAGAGCTCAGCATCTGCTCTTTCTATTCTCTCAAGAGATCAAGCCAAGAAGATTTGAGAAGTTTTTATTGCCAGATCTAAATTTTATTCCACAGGCACCGGATCAGGTCTTTAATCCTTTACTTAACCACAAAGAACTGTGCTGAGGAGTTTAATTCTTCCAAAACAACTGATAATATCCTTAAACGTCAAAAGAATACTTTCCAATGTAAGCCAAATCCCGCATGTTTTGCTTTCAAGTAAATGCCACAGCAGATGCAAAACCAGTAGGATTCACTCTGATCTTTTCTAGGAAAGGGGAAAATCTCCAACAAACACAATCCATGCTTTAGAAGTGCCAGACAATTAAAGAAACAGTTTCGATACTTGTACCGAATTAAATTGCATGTGTAACATTATGTGTATGTTTAATTTATTGATTTAGGATTTGAGATTCTTATATTTTATTACCCACATATTTTAATATGTATTACAAACTGCCTTCTCACCAGGAGGCAATTTTACTAGTTACATTTCATTCTTTCCCCCCAGATACTTGTAGATTTTTCTGAACTTCCCTTCCCCACAGCATTTCAATGAGAAGGAAAGTTGGCTGAGAAGTTTAACAGAACAAAAGTAAGTTATAGCCAAGTTTCAAGGGAAAAAGCAGAGTGGAAATTGAGACATTTCACACCACCAGAAAAACTGTTCCAGAATAGGTTCCCAAGAACAGTGAAATACAACAATTAGTTTGAAGTAGATCTCACTAACTTTGCATTATTTGACACAACTGCTACATAGTGAACTGCATTCAGTGACAAGGTATTTTTCTATCACAAGCCTCTAGGAAGGGGAATGGAAGAGATTTTACAAACAAGCCACGTCCAAGGCGAGGCTTCTTACCTAGCATCTTAAAGGCCAGTTCTGGCCTCACTGTGTAAGTAAGGAAAATCGCAGAAGCCTCAGAAGAAGCAGGTACAGAAACAGAAGTCACATATATTTAATAGAAAATACAACGACGTCTCCTACTCAGTACGAAACGAAAGACAATCAAGATATCATGAACTTTGGATGAGGTATGCTTTGAGGGCTGCAGAATAGAAGATGAAAGTAGTAAACAAATACCTAAAACGTCACCATGAAATTCTACATACGCGCATCTTTGTGATACTATTCAGTGGATTTTGCACCAACCTCAATTTCTGAGATTTAAATACTGAAATGTGTTCTCTGACAAGATTTCAATAGCACAACTCTGATCTTGGAAAAAAAAAAAAAAAAAAAGTCCTTAAATACACTGGCATTAGAAGTCCTCTGTGCATTGAGATTTAATAAACAGATGAAGTAAGAACTAGTTTCAGTTAGGCTGAACTAATCATGAGGAAAAAGCTGAATTATCTGTTACAGTTTAAGTAACTATGCTGGTTTCACTACTTGAGTTATTTTATCAGACACAGGAGAACTTCTTTGTTGGTTGGGCCATAAAGCTACAGAATGTCTGCTAGAAAACGGACCAATGTTATTTAGCCAACAAAGAAGCTCGAAAAGATCTTTTCATATCATGGAAGCATATGAAGCCATGAAGCTATTCCAAGTATCACACTTGGAAAATGATACTTCTTACAAGTCCATAAAGTCAGTACAGTCTGACAGCAAACAGGCCCTTGTCAAGACAAGATCTACTACTGGCTTAAACTGATACTCATTTACCACAAGATTTGACTAGAAAACAGAAACAAGTGTCTCATTTTGTTCATACTTGATATCTCAGGTGACCTCTTAAAAGTACATCAAAGTACCAAAACACCTGGATGACAGATCTCCAGCTACAGAGGAGCACTTCATAAACATTCTTGCCACTTTTGAGAGGTAGTACAGCAATGGTGCAAAGATGAGGGACTGTGAAGGTTGGACTCAGCATGAACATTGCTCTTCCTGTTAATGGTAACAGCTCAGTCACACCTAACAGATCAGAAACCTGACATCAAAGACGCACATCTGAGATGCACCTCCGAAGGACAGTCCATGACTGGTGGCCCACAATTTTATGACACAAGAAATAACCTTGTATTCTATTAAGCCAGACACATTATTCAGCTGCAGTGCACAGCAAAAATCCCCAAACGATCCCCTACAGATAGGCACCAATCATTTACCAGTAAACTCAGCTCCTTAGTTGTCAAATCACTCACAAAATTCTGACAAAAGGCATTACAAAATGGCAGCACACTTTATTTCCATCTGTGTTCCAGTGAAGCTGCTAACATTCACATGACATGCAGCCTGGATCAACTTGCAATAACATTAATCACCAATTACATTAAACAGAACAGATGGAAACTTGAATATAAAGTTGAAAGCAAGTTTCTGCTACTTAGAATTCCCAGGAACAACAACAAAAAAAGTCTGTCTTTGTACCTGGCTCCCACATACACGCTTTGTGACTGCTACATACCTATGGCAGCCAATCACACCCAAGACAACACTGAATTAACACTTTCAGGATACTACTAAATGATCAAGATGCAATTCTCTTGCTTTTAAGCAAGCATCCCTACAAATCAACTTCAGCCTACCTCCCTGACTTACACCCATTTACTGTGAACATGCACCCCCAACTCCTCACTTACTTCAATTTGCCCTCTTCTACAGTTTTTCACAACTTCTTGTTGCAATTCTTAGTACCTAATCTGAAACCTCATCTCTTTAAAGGAATACTAGCATACGATCATCTGTTTTATGCAGTCTTCCACTTTTATCGTGCCTATGACTGCACAGTCCAAAACTAGAATCACTAACACTGGGCAGAAAGAAAACTGCATCCCACTCATTTTACATTACCTTTCACACACATTTTTATTCCTTTAAGACAATCAGTAACAACCCAAGTCTCAGGTTTTGTCTCTTTTGCATTTGTTTTGTTGGCTTTCTATGTGGTTCCTGTTCTAAAGCTGCTATTGTTCTTTTCAACTGTAAGGAAGACAAAGATTCTTCCCCCCCCACTGAAAAGAACTCTTCCCTTTTTCAATTAATGAATGCTACAAAATACACAAAACTCACAAACTACATTCACTAAACAGAGTATACATAGCTCAATACTTTCAAATCATGAGGGCCAGATCTATCAGTAAAATAAAATGAATTGGTATTGCAGGAAAAAAAAAAAAACAACAACAATCCTTAATATTTAACTCCAGGAAGTTTCATAAAAGAGAAATAAAAATGTCACAACTTGTTACAGTTTATAAACTGGAAGACTGTAGAGATTGAAAGACCGCTGAAGTAATCTTAATGGACATTCAGAATTCTGCCAACACTGTGTTTTTGCTGCAGAAATCCCGGGTTCATGCTCTTCAAGGTGGATTTCAAGCACTAGTGAGCAAATACTACTAACTCAATCGGATAGTGAACTGTTTGCTGTGTCAAAGCTTTTTGCCAAACACACATATATAATTTTTCTTTTTTTGCTGTATGGATAATCAACCCCAGATGGCAATTTACATAGGCAACAGCATAAAGGAATCCATGCACTGCTGGTGCTCTCAGCCTCAATCAGAGCAAGCACGGGCGCTTGAGAATGTCACTGTTTATTTTTAATTGCTGTGTCCCTCCTTTGTGCAGGTTCAAGCGGTCAAAGATGTCGAAGTCCATTAGTAGAACTGGAAGATGATGCCACTTCATTTGGTGAGAGGGTTCCTCAAATTTAAAAAGCAGATGGTTTGTAATGTCCCTAAATGCCCAGTGGGCACCAGCTGTCAATCTCAGTTACCATAGGGTCAGGGCAAAAAAAGGTCAGAGAGAGTCATAAACCACAATGTGTTGTGAAATGTGCTTCCTCCATTACGTTGTAGGCCTGAGAAAGGTTTGACCTTTCATAGGTATCCTAACCCAACTCTGCATGATGCTAGCAGGGGTAAGTACAACACACAATTCAAACTTACAAAAGTTGCTTCCTTTAACCGTGCCTTGGTTACCTGCACACCATGAACAGTCACATTCACAAACTGCTCATGGCAAAAAGCAAAATCCTGCTCACCACAATTATCACTCCGATATATGGCACATCTGCTATTTCACACAAGGCAGTGGAAGGATAAGTTCATCTGCAGCAACTGAAAATAACAAACTTTGAGGCAAACTACTAATGCTATGAGAATTAAATGATCTGGCCTTTCTCTGTCAAAGACTCCTTTATCTGCTAACTTAGTCTTTCACTTCTTTAGAAATAAACAACTTACCAGTTGTTACTAAGCCCACTGAAAGACCTCAGCTTTCCACAGGCTCTCTTATAAATCCCAACTACAGAAAGTAGCAGCTCTTCCAGAACATGCTGACATCAGTTAAACTCCCCAGCAAACAAAGAGAATGTGCATCAAGCATTTCAATGCCCTCTTCTTGTCATTTCCTTTACTTGCATACATCTCAGAGAGCGCACCTATTCAGACTCCTTTGCAAGCCTTCTCACTGATGCACAAATACAAGTAACCTCACTTAAACCTTGTTCCATCCTTCAGTACATCTCGTCTTGGTAATATGTTCACTTTGCTTTGCTGAAGTTGAGAATCTAACACACTGATTTAAGACAGCCTTCTTTCTTCTTCTTTCAACTATAATAGAGCAGGTGACTTCACTGGCTGCGTTAACTAAAAAAAAAATCTCCAAGTCTCTCACTATTATTAGCTCAGATTATATTTGAGTATCAGAAAAACAATGGAATAATTTCAGATTGGAGAACACTCTCTTCTTTGTTGAGCACCTCTTTCTATTACGAAAATTGAGGGGAGTGAGAGACTCACCTTCAGGGCAGGAATCTCCACACTGTCACCAAGGCTAACAGAGCCAGAGAGAATAGTCCCTGTCATCACCGTGCCTTGACCCTTGATAGAGAAGCAGTGGTCGACTGCCATAAGGAAGTGTCCCGAGGGGTCTCTCGATGGCAGGTAAGCCTGAGACTTCAGGACCTGAATAAAAGATAAAAGCAGAACCATGCCTGGGTGAAAAGTCATGACAGCCATACAGCAAAAGGAAGGCAAGCGGATGATTGATTGAACAGGCTTGCAGCTTTACTGACTTCAAGCATCTCCCAATAAGCTCAGAACGCACCAATGTCAAATTAATTGTGCGTGCCATAGAGGAGATGCACAATTAGCAGCAGGAACAGTTCGATTTTCTGCCTTAGAAAGATTTGGTGCTGCACATTTAGCTTGGTTAGCAAAACTGTGCTGGCAACAAAGTTGCTGCCAAACTCAATATAGACACTGCAGCAAAGTAAATCAAAAAAACAACCCTGTACCCTTGTCTTCCCCCTTTCCACCTGTCCCAAAGTACAGGTTCATAGCCTATTTTGCTACTTCAGCTTTTTTGATTTAGTGCAAATTAACCTGTGTAAGGATATTAGTGCCCCATCCCTGCCTCCCTCCCAGAAAAATTGTTATATTCAGATAAGTTCTCTAAGTCAACTTCTCTTTCAGATTTATGTTAGCACCTCATGAAGGATCAAGACACTAAGAAAAATAGCTAATCTTTTTTTTTTTTTTTTTTTTTTTTTTTTTTTTTTACAGAAATTCTCCAAGTTCGGGATTTCTGTTTTGCTGACAAATAACTTTCTTAAAATACATCATCATAGATATCAGACTAACAATAAAAGTGCAGTCACATACTAACAATGGTTCAGAGGAGCTGGTTCATCTCTATCTCCAATCACTTTTGATCTTTGCCTCTGTTACAATATTCACATATAAACTTGGCACTGCTTTTAGTGTCTTTTTTTAAGGTCAAAATCTGTAGGTTAAGTCAGAGTCCTAATGGCAGAACAATGGAGAGGGAACCTCATCAATGAGACAAAGGGCAATACTTTGAAGCTCAATGGCAGGACTCCCATAGCATTTGCCAGCTCTACTAATACCTCCCAATGTTTATTCACAGAAGAGATGACAAGTCTGGAACAAGCTGAACCTCTCATCTACCTCAAACAGCACTCCTAAGCATCCTGCCCTTTACTGTATAAGCAACATGTCAAACAACTTACCATATAATCCATTTTTCTGAAAGCCTCAAGAATTATTCTCACAAAAATTAGAAATTCGGCACTTCTAGAACTAATGATACCTCTGAAGCATTAGCTTACTTTACAACTTTCTCTTGTCTCACGTGCATTTGATATAGTGCTGGTTACACCATTGAACAGCTTTTTCCAGGCTCTATCTCATTCGGTTGCCAGACAAATTTTTATCTTTTCCAGAAGCGCAAGGCACGCAGTCAACAAGTCACAGCATCACAGAGAAAGATGGTTTCATTCTAAGGGCAGGTAGGGCTGCTCTAGAGAACAGGTTCTACACTTACTAATGCCAGAACCCTCACATATCGTCATGTTCCTACAAATGAAACTTGCCACAGGTAATCACTGGTTGTATACCTCAGATGGTTCAAACAGAAACCTCAAATCTTGGTAAGCAGAGTGCTAAGCACTCACAATTGCAATCAAAGTTGGCAAGCACGTCCCAGAACAGTTCCTAGCTGCTTTAAATTTGGCAAGCAGTGTTTGTAAACTCATTGGATTTAACTCCTTTGTCCCTCAGCATCCCAATCTAAATACAGATCAGTCACTTCTGCACTTCCTATAGGTCTTTTGGAAGTAAATTAACTATTTGCCAAGTGTTCAAATCATCACTGATGAGTGCCAAAGAAAAGTCCAGAAGGAAATTAATTATTCTAACTGCAGAGAAGCATTTAAATGGAGGTACGAGGCCACACAGAGAATAATGAGAATTAAAACAAAATGCTGACTGCCTTCTCAGGAGTTCAGTTCTGTCTGTCCTCCACAACGAGGCATGGGTTGTTTAGAATAAAGAATCATACACTTAAACCCTCTATCATAGCACTCGTGTGAAGGAAGGAGACATTCACCTATGCATGATTTCTGAGTGCATGAATTCAAACTTTGTTGTTTTCCTAACTGTGGTGTGCAGGAAAATGCAATGGCAGATAACCAGCTCTGAATTACCAAAAAAGACTGATGGTCATAACCTAGTTGAAGAACAAAAGTTTTGCTTACTCATCCAAGGCTTGCCAAATACTCCAAAAGGAGGGATCCTTCAGGCAGAGAGCCTTCCCTTGAGGCAGCCAGCCCTTAAATGAGGTTTAGGGAGAAGGTGGAACTGGTTCCACCCTTTCCACTTGCACAGGTGAATTGCTTTCATCTGTGCTCTCAGGGCTGGCTGTGTTCCTTCCTCAGGTGCTCAATCATTGGTTCATTTCATGACTTAGCAATTCCCATACGTGGTGTAATTCTAAAATAACACCTACCAATGATTTGGCAGAACTTTAAAGGAATTTTTATTTATTACTCTTTGTAATTCCTGACAAATTTAAAACATTTCACCATGTGTGACAGTGGCTTCTTAAGACAGCTATTCAAAGAATTTGAAGTTAGAAAAGTAGATCCACTTTTGGGGCACAGATCTGCAACTCCTCCACTCACTGGAAGGAATCCCTGATGAATTAGGTCCCACCAAACAGACATTAAGGCAGTACTTCTTCAGTCCTAGATACTAATGCAGTGTCGCTTCAAGAGATTTAAAGATGCTGAAGCACATTTTGCAGCATTAAGTTCTTCAGCAGGTACCTCAATTAATTCAGAAACACCAAGTGGATTCTCAGACTCTGGAGCCTCCGGTCCACCAGGCTTTGCTGCAACAGCAACAATAGGACACCCAGAGAACCTGAAAGAGAGAAAGACTTTCACATTAGACCACAGATGTCTCATGTCTGTAAACCACACTGCGAAGGCAAAGCAACTGTCTCAGAATCTAATTCATCTGTTCTTTCCTCTTAGTAAATAATGGACAGTTTTATTTTATTTATTTTAATTACTGGAATTTGTGCTAATGAACTTCACCATGAAATCTTTAACTCTGTTCAACATTAGGCACAGATTCAACTTTTGAGTGACGCTGAAAGCAAGACGTCATTTCTGAAGCAAGGACGTATTACCCGGTTTCATCACAGTGGTTCTGAATTCACTCCAGCTTACCTGGAGACTAACTCACTTTTCAACTTTAATTAGAACAGTTACAGTTCTGACTGTACAGTCATAACCTTCCAAACAGGAGCCAAATGCAAGATAGCACAATATCTACCTGAGTGTGCAGACAGTTTGTAAGGTTTGCAGACAGTGGAAAGGTCCAATTCTACTGACATGAAAATTTATAAAAATCTCAAACATGCAAAGCTTCTGAAAAGAGCAGCACAGCTGACCCCACTCTAGCTTTTCTCTTGCAATGAATTCTATTCTTCAAGCCCTTAAAATTCAGCAGCTGCTTTGTTATTTTTTGAAGCCTGCTGATTGAATTTGGGACATTTGCTCCCTATAGAACACAACCTATAGTTCACAGATCTGATAGCTTGCTTTGCCTATGTTTTGGAAAGAGAAATCAGATTATAATTCAGGTTATTACTGCATTTTTTCAAAATTCAGGATTAACCATAATGGGGTTAATATACATATATGACAAATATACATATTTGTTAAAGTAATGGAACAATAATCAACAGTAAAAAAAAAATTAAAGAAGGCTTGGCTCTGAAAGATGATTCTGATTCAATAGATTCAGACCGAAAGTCGTGAGTGCTGTCAGCCTTGTGATTCCCCTTCACCCCAAATCATAGATTTCATCTCAAAAAGGGAATGAACTGCAGTAAAGAAAAAACACTAAGTTCTGTACGGTGAGCTCCTTTAGTAGCAAAAGAGAATCCAGTATATTTTCTCTGAAGCATCTGGAAACAAAGAGTAAAAAAAAACGTGCACTGAAAATTTCTGTGATTAACCACTGAGACTTTCAGAACTCTCATTTTCATGGAAATTCTTTAGGACAACATATTACAATAAATAAAGATTTATGCTGAACCAAATGCCTCCCTCCGTTTCCCCTACGCCAGAATAAACTGAAGTAATCATATACTGACATTGGAGGGACTTCCAAATATGATTAGGACCTACTAAAATTGTCACTCCACAACTTGCCAGCAGTGTTTAGACCCTGCTGAACAAAGACACAAGGTAGCAAATGCAGAACTTACAATTAAATAGAAACTCCATTCATAGGAACTGTTTGCATTTACTTACAGTATCACAAGATAAGGTCAAATTTTCAAACTACGACAAGTTACTTTCCTCTGCCTATAATAATAATCAGCAAGTAAACTAGTCCTGGAAAACACCCTATTGACAAGTGTCTGTGGCCTGAGGCAGCTGTCAGACGGTCTCAGCATGCGCCCTGCTGTTCAAAGTAGTTTAGAAATACAAAAACAGTTACACGTGTATTTGGAAGTTTAAAGTTGAGTGGAAAAGAGGCTGTCAAGAAACAAAACGTGCCCAACATACAATGCGGCAGGCACTCTGCAATCAGCCCAGGGTAGCAAAGCTTTCAAAGCATCATAAAGCACATTTACGTGCTTTATTTTCTTGCAAAAGAGGAATGTTAGTTATGGGAACAATACACAGGAGCATCCGATTAAAGAGCATTTCTAAGATCCAGAGTTCAAATGAATAATTAAAACATTACAACAGACCAGTTCTCTCCATGTGAAAGCACAGCTGTTATCAACTGATGTACATCCTTGTTTTAAAAGAGAGATGGCAGAAAGGACCTCACATTTAACGTGTCCCATATTTCAAAAACTCACTTTCCCTTCAGTTCTGACAGTCTGCTCATTTTCAAGACATACCTGTGGGACTCATCTGTACTTCATTCCCTCAATTCTCAAAACCAAAATGTGACCTCCAAGCTATAAACCTTGGAGTCATAATGTTCCCTCACGACTCTGGACAAAGTAACCTCTGCTTCTATTTGTATAAACCACTAAATTGTGCAACCACTATAAGAGTTTCTGTTTTATTGTCCCACCTCATAACAGCCACGTTTTCAATTGCAAATCTCCCTGCACTTTGTTCATTATTTTCCTCAATTAATTTATGCACAAAGACTGAAACACCAACCCAGCCAGTCACACTGCATTATAGGAAACTTCAGGAACACTGTCAATCAGATTCTTGTCCATACTGATCTGTCCCAGGTAGAAGCTGTCTTTATTTCCCTACTTAGGGCAATTGCATCCTTCACCCTGGGTTAAGGAAAAGCTCTAACTCTTTCTTTTCATTCGAGCAGATAAAGAATTCTGGAAAATAACAAAATTTACAAGCTCACAAACTAAGAAAAAGTTCTCCTTCATCCAGCCTTTCTGGCTTTGTTTTATGAAATCTGAATTCAACGCAGTTCTTTAAACTGAAAAGTTTAATCACACTAAGAAATTTCTGTGTACATACTTCCAAATCCAGGGCTGAGTTTAAATTTCTGGTAATCTTTCCTCTCTTCTCATCTACATCTATGACTCATCCAGCAGGGGCCAGACAGATGAATTCAGAAAAATGCTGAAAGCGAGATGTGGTTAAAGTATTCATGTTACAACTGTTAATGTTACTGTTAGCTTACTTCGTATTTTCCAAGGTCTTCTGCATTTTCTTGGTCATCTTCTCAATGGCACTTTGTCTCTTGGCCTCTGGAAGGAGATCTATTTTGTTCAGAACTACCACCATCTTCTGGCAGGCGATCTGCCCGATCACCAAGCACTCCGCTGACTGCGTCTGCATCCCCTTCGTCACGTCGATGACGAGCATCATCAGATCGATAATCTGGGCACCTGCACAAGAACTCACAGTCAGAACTGCGGCAGCACAAAGAGGCTCGGGATCATTTTCTCAAGTAGCTTCCATAACAACTGTCTGGATATGTACGTGTGCCCAGAATTATGAACAAAGTACAAATTAGTGCAAGCATCGAATGCCTGGCTGTGTTTGAAAATAGGACTTGAGGAACGTAAGCCCTTATATACTCCTATCAGATTATAAAAATATTCTAGCCAGGATTGTTTACATGTTCCCCCCCATTAGCAGTGCAAGGACACTACCACTGCATTTAAAAATAAGGGTCTGATTTACTACAAATCAAAGGAAATCCATAAAAGCTTTCAATATGAAGAAGAGCTGATTTAAACCCTTCAATACATCAGCATTCACTTCCAGTTCATTTCTACATCAGTGAAAAGCATATTTCCTATCACAGTCATAAACAGAACAGATTCTTAGATCTGCTTTACCTGAAAAAACTCCTAAATTTCAGGCTACTGTTACCAATTGTGCTCATGGATTGTTTTTTAAATATTGTTTTCATGAGCTCTTTAACCTCTGACTGAAGCAACTCGAATTTCATGAATTTAACTTCATTTTCAAGGAGCTTTTGGTGAGCGTTGGGCCTTCCACTAATAGCATTCAGGAACTGCCTCACTCTAGGGAACTCAAATACTCTGAATAACCAAAACGAAGCTGCAACAACTTCAATGTAACAAAGTTTAAGTACGAAGCAGAAAAAGAAATGTAGAGCTGAACTATCAGGAAGTTACGTTAGACAAAAAACACCCCACACATTAAGAAATGTAGTAGAAGAAATCATGTAAGACTGCAGCATTTGGAACATAAGTGCTTTTAATATTTGTCTCAAGCTTTTGATCAGAAGAACATGAAATCGATGCGACGGTTCCTTGTTCTTTTGCCCTCTCCAACCCGCTTTATTTTTTTCCCAGTCTTTATAATGGCAGTCACAACAGCTAGCCTTGTTTCTAGTTCCCATGAACTCTTGGGATAGGAAATCATTCTGAGGCTGAAGTGCATGGGTGAACGAGTGGGTGGGAACGACGACAAGAAAAAGGTTATGGTTACAAATGACTATTTTCAACCTACCAAAGCTTTCATCTTGGAATAATGAATGCTAAATGTAAATAATGGATGCCTCAGAGGGCTGGCTGGCTTACGATGACATCTGCAAAGCTCCTGCACAACTTTTCAGCAGCCATTTCAAAAAACTCTCCAAGACAAACTGAAGATAAAGTTTATCTCTTCGAAAGTATTTTTATTTTCATTGTTTCAAGAATGCTATTAATTTAGAACTCGCTTAAATTATAACAGCTCTCACCAGGGCTGCACGAAAAGGCTGGGATGTTCCACGCCAGGCTGAAGCATAGAGCTGGAGAACAGCAAACAAGGGGAACCAACAGCATGAAAATTGTTCAAGTGGAACAAAACACCAAACAATCAGCATGCACGCACTGCTGTGAGTGTATCCAGCAGGGGTTGGGCTTTTTGTATGTAAAACTTAATGCCCATGTTCTGTATTAAACTACTCCGCATGGTAATTCTTCCTGCACAGATGACACCTTTAAAAATGAAAGGGAATTAGTAACTAAAATCAAACCATGAAGTTAAATAACATTAATACCATAAAAAGACGGCTCATTCGTTCAGTGAAATAACAATATTGCAGCTTAAGTTTTAGCTAAGCCTTATGACTGGTAGGGCACAGCACTCTGTGCTCCGTAATGAAGTCAAAGCAACCAGATCTGATTCTGGTCCTGCAAAGGGAGGCTCGTGTGATGCATTATGTATGGTGCAATATCTCTTCCTTCCAACAGGAGACAAAATCTGCACTGAAGCTGTTACATGTAGTTTCAGTACAAGGGCCCCTTTATCTTGAAACACTAAATTAACTGCTTTGAACACATTTGTTACAAAGCAAATACTTGTAATTGCTGTATTTATGAATCTATTAGTAACACTTGAAAAGAGCGACAAAACTCATCAGCCCTATTGCTAGAGGGTCAAGAATGTCTACCTTGGGGCATTTCACAGCAAAGAAAAGATGAACACAGGAAAAATAACTGTACAGCCCATGGAAAAACTCCAAAACCACCAGAAAATGCATCAAAACACTCTGCGTGAAAGCATAAAACAGCCAAGGAAACAGCAACATACTCAAACTAGCAAGTATACAGCTTAGCACAGCTATTGTGAGTTTTGTTTTAGTCTATAACCCATTTCCTTAGTTGCCCTTCATCCATGCATAATAGTTCATTAAACACTTAAAAGTGAAGTAACCCAGGGAGATCAAAACAAAGTATATGGGGATTTGTGGGGGCAAAGTCCCTAATGGTGAACATTAACCAATCACTGAAAGGAAGGTCACTAAACCACAGCCTCAGCACGCATATAACCTCTCCAGAGCATCAAACATCTCATTCAGAACAGCTTTTCCTTTAGTATGTAAATAATCTTAGGAGATGCCTACAATGTGTTTTATGTAAATTGCAAATACGAAGTTCTCTTTCAGACTATTAAATCAGCTTACCACCATGTTGGATTTTGGTCAACAAAAGGAACAGTGCTCCTGAAGAATATTTCTACAGCAGTATTTCTACAGCAGAAGATTGAACTAAGAAAAGCTACAGTAAGAATGGATTATATAAATGTGTTGTGTATACAATCTGACTTGGAACAGCCTTTTAACTGAAGCTTAAAAATATTACAGCCATACCAAGTAGAGGCTCCACAACCAAGAAGAACAAAACAAGGTGATGATATCACACCATAAACCTGCACTATCTGACCACAGAAGGCCTGCCATGGGCCCTCTGTGTCAAACGGAACAAAAGGAAGTGAAGCACATTTTCTCTCAAAGCAGGACAGAGTATCATCCTACACTGTCACAATGAGGAACAGTCAATGCTTTCATACTGAGCCCTCAAAGCAGGCAAGCAGGACTGGAAATCAACCCGAATGAAGGAGAGACACATGCAAAGGATGAGTCTGCATACAAGGAATCACAGCAGTAAGAAAAACTTCATTGCACTGAAGTAGGTGACATAGAATCTACAATTCAGCTGAATTAAGGTATTCAAACGACCTCTCTATAGGAAAAAAAAACCAGACACGTGTTTCATCTGTGAAAGTGGTGTTGAAGAGCATTAAGGAAGACAGTTCTCATGAAGTATGATTTCTCACTCAGTTTGAAAACCATCCACCATCAGGGTATCCTTCTTGTGATGACAGCACTCGGCTACAGCCCTGCCAGAAGGAAGTGAAACAAACTAGTTGTCACCAGAAAACACAAGGGAGAAGGAAAGATGGGAATTATATTGCACAATAAGAAGCTAAACCACAGTGGAAAAACAAAGTAAAGAAGTAAATGGTCTGCTGAGTGAAGGAAAACAAACACAAAGATAACGCAAACAGAGGGAGTTCGGGTGACAGCCAGATACGGGGACAAGCAACAAGGCTGGCAGCACTGCATCAGAGAACAGCCTGCAAGAGCTGTACCAGCTGGACTCGGGGGCACCAGCACTCATCTATACCACAACACTGACAAGAATCACACAACTAAGAGGTTAACATATTATTTTTAGAGAAGAGAAAGAAAATGACTACCCTAGCTTTGAATACTCAAGTCCAATTCACTTCTGAATTTGGGGGAATATCTGACAGCGATCATCATCAAGGAAGTAACTCCTTACTGCCACTGCTTGCACATCAAATAGGATCCGTGCTGCCAGTGGGACCACAGGCAAGCCCCCACATCAGGCTGCGTTCCTGTCTGGCACAGTGGGCTCCTGAGTAGGCTTTCACAATGTGAATGCCTTATTGTTTCAGAAAGCCAAAACCAAAAAGTATTAAAACCAGATCTGTCATACCATATTCACAGGGAAACATCACAGGAGTACCCAAACCATAGACTGTACTTTTTATAAACTGCAAAGCACTGTAATTGCTGTGTTTATTTTGGCACAGAATATCACATCTGACATGGCAAATCCCTTTCAGCCTCTGTCATAGAAGCCATAGCAACTCTGCAAGTTCAGGAACTCAAAAACCTTCCTGTTAGTGCAACCTGCTGCACACACCTGTATGTTACCTGTATATTTGAGCTCCAGTATTGAGCTGCATGGAGATGGAGCCCTACAGCACATTCCCAACAAATTAACAAAGGCATTTTTAAGCCTAAGTGATGGGGGGGAGGGGAATAAATAAATACAACACTGTCAATTACCTCCTCTATATGTGCACACTACACCCACATTTGTTATAAACTGCAAGCACTAAACTAACTGGCAATTTCAGTATTGCTGAAAAAGAAAAAACTTGAAGACATCTAGGACAGTTTGAATGGTTTTTCTCAACAAATGCAGATTAAGAATATTATTTAAAACCACTACTACTTCAGCAAGCAGAAGCTCAGTACTACATTAGATTCCCCATCATCTATCCCTACAAAGCCAAATGGACTGCAGTCAGACCCAGGCAGTGCAGAGCAGGACGGAAGGGGTCCCAGTGTGAGCCAGCACAGGGTCCCATGTGCACATGGGCACCAAATCTGAGCACAGCTGACTCGGGACTTTAAGCTACTGCATCCTTCTCCATTTGTCATCATCTCTGTAGCTGACTTTGCAGCAGCAGTCCAACTCCTGTTTGCAGACACCAAAAGGAAGCACAAAGCGGAATTTGAAATGTAAAAATAAAATAATTGTGGGCCACGGGCTATAATTTGATTTCATGCTTTACAAGGAAATGAAAGAGGACTTCCTTTTTTTTTTTTCCCCTAATATGTTTTTACAATGTTAGGATTTCCTCTAGTGCTGAAGAGAAAATCGGATTGTAGAAAATGTGCTGTTCTCAAGTATCATTGCTACTCAGGGGCAAAGCTCTGTTCTAATGTGCACTTCCCATTCTGGGGAAGAGGAAATTCTTCAATTAATAAACCGGGTGGACTGAGGCGAGTTTTTAAGGTTTAATCAATTTCATCTGCACAGAGGATAAA